TTTACTTGTGCGTTCTCGTGTGCTCGTGAAACGAGACCGAGAAGGGACAAAGTCCCCGGATGCTGTTCTGGCCCCTCCCTCTTTACCCAGCATGCATCAGAGCAGACTTGTCCTTTCCCCAGACTGACAGCTGTCCCAGCATGCACTGCAGCAGCAGCTTCCAGGTTAGCGCTCACAGAGCTCAGAGTATTAAGTTAAAAGTTTACTTTTCTGTTGTTGCTGTTCAATAAAAGTACGTTTTAAGATAATTTGAGGTGAGAAATTTGTACTTTAAGCTTCCCTATATGGACCATTTACTGATTTAATGCGTAATAAAAAAAAAAAAAACGAAGTTGAGAGGACTGTGGCAACCAGCGGAGCTCAGAGGCTAACCGCAGCCTGGGCTAACGTTAACCCATCTACGGCGGCCGGGGCTGACGTCATTCCGTCTGCGGTGGCTAACGTTAGCCCGTCTGCAGTGCCTGGATCTAACGTAAGCCTGTCTGCAGCTGCTGAGGCTAACATTAGCACCGGCCTCGGCAACCAGGGCTAATGTTAGCTCGTCTGCACCGCCCGGATCTAACGAAAGCACATCTGCAGCAACCAGGGCTAACGTTAACCCATCTGCAGCGCCTGAGGCTAACGTTAGCCCGTCTGTGGCAGCTGGGGCTAAAGTTAGTCCGTCTGCAGCGTTCGGATCTAACGTAAGCCCGTCTGCAGCAGCCATGGCTAACGTCAGCCCTTCTGCAGCAGCCATGGCTAACGTCAGCCCGTCTGCAGCAGCCATGGCTAACGTCAGCCCGTCTGCAGCAGCCCTCTCTCTGCATAGCCGTGTGTGAAGTACCGCTGGCTCTGATGGAGGTTTGATTGTTTTATTTGGCAAAATGTTCATTTGATTTGAGTTTATCTGACTGTGTTCATTATTATTCCTGCACTAAATGAAAAAGTTGTATTTTATAATAATCTAGAGACTATTAATAACAGAAGGCTAAAATCAGCTCCAGACTAGCTTTGAATGTGGTGATGTCATCAGTACGCTGCTGTTCCAGTTGACCCAGATTAATTCTGCGTGCTCCAGTTCTCCCTGAGTCCAGACTTTCCTGTGTTCTTCTCAAAACAGACTTGGGGAGGACATGAGTCCGTACTCGTGTTCTTGTGAATTGAGAAACAGCCAGGTTGGACTCGTGTTCTCGCTAATAAAATAGGAAAGTATCGGTTGCAATTTGAACAGAAACATACTCTTAACATCATCACACAATCTCTTGAACTGAATTTCACCTCCTCTTATTAAGAGTCTCTAGATAATATATTGTTTCTTTTTGTCATATAGAGGGGAAAATGATTAAACCCAGTCAGATAAGTCAAATGTTTTTTCAAATAAAAGAAACATGTCATCATTGGAATGTGTGAAAAAATGAACAGTATAGTGTACCTGTGAGGTGTGCTGGATGTTTTGGCAGACTGATCACTCCATTATTCACTGGTAGTTTACTCACCTTTTAAAGAGTAAAATAGCAATCACTGTGATAATGATGATGATGACAGCCAGCACTGGACCCATGACCCACAACATCTCTGGATCCTCCTGAGCCTGCCTGGTGACTCCGCCGGCTTTCACCATGAAGGTGTCAGAGAACGGACTGGCAGCAAACGTCCTCTGCTGCAGAGAATCCAAGAGGAGCTTTACTTCAATAAAGGACATTTTATAAGACGGGAATGGAATAGCATCCTGTCTCAGCAAACCACAGATACATAATAAAGTAAAACTATTTAAATACCTTAACTAATTGTTTATTGGCTGGAAAAAAGTAACCAACTTAATGCCCAACATGGGCTTTAATAATAGTGTGGTTTGTGTTTTCTTTCTTTGGATGTTAGTAAGGTTAAATATTAAAGTGTGCCGGTTTTTCTTTCTGAATAAGGGTGAATAGTTAGAAGCTATTGTTCCATTCTTTATGCTGAGATGTAGGGAAAGGAAGGAGGTTTGAAAAGGAGTTTCCTCCCTAGTTTAGATAAGAGGAAAACATAGATAAACAGGTCCTTATTGTGTTTAAGATCCTCACATCCTGTCTCTGGTGTGAATGGAAAAAAGTTGTCTGAATTGTTTATCTAAACAAATTTATGTTCTTTGATGAAGTGTTTCTGTTGGGAAGACTCAATGTTCGTGTGTAAGAAGTCTTAATAATGCAAGGCTGGTCAGGACCTAGTCAGAGCTATACTGGGAGCTGTACGCAGCTGTCTCGTGTAGTTCTCCTCTGCAGAGTAAAATAAAACCTTTTCTTCCTTGCATATCAACTCTCGGTGCTCATTTTTACTCCACAATAGCCTTCGTTTCTAGTGTCCATTTAGACTGAAGATTTAGAAATAAAACAAGTTCAAAATAAAAAAGTGTTCAAATGTTATTTTTTTAATAAAAAAATACATTTGACTTTTTTTTTATATTTGCTAATAAGGCTGTAGATAAAGTCTATATTTGAATGTTTAGACATCAAATGTCCCTTATCCAGATCTAACTAAACTTAAATGAAACAATAATGTCCAAGTAAGCGTTGGTTGCTTTTAATTTCCCAAAAAAGGCTTCAGAGCTCAGTTAATCAGAAACAAGTAGGTTGACAAGAGGCCTGGAAACAAGGTGAGAAAGAAAAACTAGGCTTTCTATAAGCAGAGAAGGTAATACAATTTAAAATCCTCCTTCTCACATATAAAGCCTTAAATGGCCAAGCTCCATCTGATATCAGAGATCTGATTGTTCCTTATGTTCCTAACAGAGCACTTCGCTCTCAATCTGCAGGTTTACTAGTGGTTCCTAGAATTTCTAAAAGTAGAATGGGAGGCAGATCTTTTAGTTCTCAGGCTCCTCTCCTGTGGAACCAACTACCAGTTTTAGTCCGTGAGGCAGACACCCTGTCTACTTTTAAGGCTAGGCTTACAACTTTCCTTTTTGATAAAGCTTCTAGTTAGAGTGGCTCAGGTTATCCTGATCTATCTCTATAGTTCTGCTGCTATAGGCTTAGACTGCTGGAGGACATAGGGACCCCTTTTTCATCATTCTGCTTCATTCTATCTGTATTCTCCGACTCTGCAGAATCTGTTAGTTCTCTCTCTGTCTCTCTGAGTGCATGCTGGGGGTTTGGTGGTGGAGAGTGTGGCTGAGAGTTGGTGAGTCTTTTTTTCTTTCTAACTGTTTACTGTATGATTGTTTGTTAGTATGATTGTGGTTTTGTATCACTCCAAGTTACTATGCGTTTTGGTGCTTTGGGGGGTTGCTTTCTCTCTAAGCATGAGGTGAGGATAATGGCGCAGCCCAGCACTATGGTGGAGCAGGTGCTGCTGGCAGTAGAAGAACAGGTGGGACGTTGAAACATCTCATATGCCTCATGCTTGAATAAAGCGGTGGTTGGAATCTGGAATCTTTTAGTCAACTCATAGAAAGTGGACTAGTTTTCGATCATGAGTTTTTTCAGGTGTCCCCGCTGGCAGTCCCTTCGGTCCGGATCACCATGTCTGGTGCCCCCCTTTTATTTCCAATGAGGCTCTGGAGACAGAGCAGAGGCGTTTCGGAAGATTCGTGAGCGGTTTTCGGGTGGTGAGTCTGGGCTGTAAAGATGCCAAACTGAAACATGTTCAATCTCTGTGGATTATTAAGTGTTTATGTTCCTAGACTCTCCAACTCAAACGCTGGATGTTTCGTTCCATGTCAAACATGAGCAGGGATACTACATGATGTATGCTAGCTCTGGTAACATGAAGAGATTTGAGTGTGGAGATGTGGGCCACAAGCGGGTGGCATGTCCCCACAGACAAAGCGCGGCGGGCGCTTGGGCGGGGCACGCAGTGGAGCCCACAGTGGGGAGGGGAGCAGTGGACAGCCGGCGCTGCCAGAGGCTGCTCCTGGTGATAATACTAAGGGAGACGCTCTGTGGTCGGAGCTGACAGTGGCTCAGTGGTTGGGACTGAGGGTTGACAGACAGTGCTGTAGGTGAGGAGGAGGCTGTGGTCAGGACGGGGCAGAGAGCGGATGACCTGGGGAGGCCAGAACAGGATGCAGAGTGTGCTGCTGTGCAGGATGTACAGCTGCTGCAGGTCAACCCTGATAGTGAGCCAGATGATCAGATGGAATCCACTCGTTGCCATGGTGATATAGATGGTGATCTGATAGTTTCTCAATGGCAGACAGCTACTCTCAGAGAGTTGATTTGTATTCTCTGGAGGAAATTAATGGCTTCCTGGATGACAACTTTGGGAAAAAAATAAATGTAAAAGGTTATTTTTCTGATGTGGATAAATTTATTCAATCAGTCACTACTTTGCAGAGATTTGTTGGTAATGATTTACTGGACAGCAAGAAACGTTTTTGTCTTAAGAAGCACGTCACTGGTCTAAGGAAAACTCTTAAAACGAAAAAGGGAAAAATTTCAAAGATAATGAAACTTTAAAAAAACAGTAACATGATTGAACAACACTTGGTTTTTCAATTCTGTTGGTTTTCCCTACTGGTCTGTCACTATTCTCCTTACATGCAGGGTCTAAGAGTGGCCTTGTTAAACATAAATGGGGGTAGAGATGGAAAAAAGAGGGCTATATTAACAGATGTTATCACACAGAAAAGACTGGATGTAGTTTTCATACAAGAAACACACACTGAATTAAATAGTTAAATGTAACTGTTACATCCAGCACAGAGGTGGTGAAGGGCAGAATGCTTATGGTGAGAGCTGAAGTAGAGGGATTCAGCTTCATTTTCATTAATGCATATGCACCAAACCAAGGCTATGAGTGGGAAGAAACCTTTAAAATACTGAAGGAAGAACTAAATAATATTGGTACAGGAGAGTTTATTGTATTGGGTGGTGACTGGAACTGCTGCAGTGATTTTACATTAGATAGGACCGGAAAGGAGCCACATGTTCAGTCCTCCTCGTTTCTGTCTCATGTATTTAAAAACACTGATTTGGTTGATGTCTGGAGGATGAAACACCCTTCAGATAGGCAGTACAAAATATCAGATGGGAGAATAAGTGCAGCTAGACTGGACAGGTAGTAGTCTTAATGGAACTGTTTCTCTCTCCCACTGGAAAACCAAAATCTCTTTGGCATTTTAATGTTAAATTATTAAGATGATTTTCTTTCCCTGGCTCAGTGGTGGGAGGTAGGAAAAGCTCAGGTTAAGGTTTTTTGTCAGGAATATACAGCTAGTGTCACTACAAAAATCAAGAGAGCCGTGCAGGAGTTTGAGGACCAGATAAGGAACTTGGAAAATGCCTTAAAAGGGAATTAGTAAAATTATCTTTTACGATCAAAAAGACAGGAGTTTTACTCTTTCCTGCAGGAGAGAGCAAAAGGCTGTAGGCATGCAGTTCTTTCTTTGATGCCTAAGAAGGGAGATTTAAAGAACTGGAGACCAGTAGCTCTTTTATGTACGGACAATAAGATTCTCTCAAAGGTCTTGTTGGGGGAGGTTTTCTGTCTTGGGTAAAGCTGTTGTATCGAGATGCCTGTTGTGTGGTGAAGGTGGGTTGAGTGTTCCAGTGCCAGTTAGGAGAGGGATCAGACAAGGCTGCACCCATCTCAGGCCAGCTTTACAGCACTGCCACTGAGCCTCTCCTCTGTTGGTTGAAGAGCAGACTGCGAGGTCTCTCCCTGCCACAGCTGGTTCAGAAGCCCCCTGTTGTCGTTTCAGCATATGCTGATGATATGAATGTATTTATCTACAATGAGGGAGACGATAAAGAGCTACAAGAAAGTTTGTCCTTTCTACAGCTCAATGCCTGACAGACACTGAAGGTCACAAGGAATCAGGACTCTGGGCCAGGGATGTGGATCTACGAGGAGCCGCTGTTTTACAACAACTTCTTTAGAAACGCCTCATTTCCTTCTGCTACATTGAGAACTACATTTGCTGAGGCCGGCATTACTAAACTGGGCCACCTCACCAAAACATCCAGAGAGCACTTACTGGTGGGTTGTCCTCGGCTAGTTGGTCTTTTTAAAGTTTTGAAAGAATGGGTGGAAGCTTTGTGTAACGATCTTGGTTCTGTTGTTTTTCTCTACGTTTTCAGTTTCACGTTCATCCAGGTTTTTCCTTGTTTTCTATCATTATTGGTGTGTCTGGATTCATTTTAGTTTCTTAGGTTTTTCTTTGTCCGTCCTTTGTTGCCCCCTTGTGTTTTCTTTTCCCTTGGCACCCCCATCAGCTCTACTCACACCTGCTCCTTATCAGCTCGTTAGTCCTTCCTTTGTTCAGTCAGCCATAAATACACTCCCTCTGCAGTCCCTTTGAGCTGGTTCCTCATCTTACTTCATCCTACCCTGGCTCCTCATTATTGTTTTCCCCTGATGTCTCCATGGTTCTGGTTTGTGTTTAATTCTTATGTTGGTTTTTGGGATTCCTGTTTTGATTAACATTTCAAAGATCTCACCCCGGCCTCTCAGCTTCTGCTTTTGGGTCCTCACAAAAACCTTAAAACCAAACCTTGACACTTTGGGGGAGGTTTTCTCTGTCCCTCTGTTTGTTTTTGGACCCAGATACACAGTATGGAGAAAACTGACATTCGTTTTAGTAAATGTTTTGTGTGGGGTGGCTAAACTAGCAATTTGGAGGACCAGGAAGAATCAGATGCTGGGTCAGGTTTGGACAGATGTGCTGCAGAGCCTGAAAGGTCCGGTTGCAGCTGGTCTGAGAGTGGAGCATGCTTTCTACACACTGACTAGTAATCTGAAACCTTTTAGGGCTCTGTGGGGATCAGACATGTTTTATGTTCAGTAGAGGAAGATGGTTCACTGGTTCTTTAACTTATCTGTATGTGTTTGTGCGGTAATGGTTGTTTTTTGTTGTGATGGTGGAAACAGTCTGTTTTTCTGATGTGAAGTAAATAAAAGACGTGAAAGGTCTCTCTCTCTCTTTATATATATATATATATATATATATATATATATATATATATATATATATATATATATATATACTTCTGTCAATCCTCTCTTAACCTGCACTTTGTGTGACACATGCTAATGTTCATATGTTATGTTTATATCAGAGAGCTGTAGCTGTTCACTATATGTGGGAACGTTTGGTTTTTTTGGGGCTCAGGAGGCTGGGGCTCCTTTTCTTTGAGGCAAATTTTGAAGGGCTTATAAACGAGGAAGATACTTACAGAGTCGTGATCTGTGAGGTCGGCCAAAACAAAGCAACGCAGCTGCTGCTGGACGGGAAGAGGCCTATTTTGGTAGCCGTTGTATTTCTTATCGTCACCTAGAATAAAAATATCTGGCAGAACGTCCATCTTAGCAGCAACAAAGGGCTGGAGAAGACCCTGGTTCTGGGTCTGCTCTTCACCAGGTTCCAGGATCTGCCAAAAATGCAAAAAGGTTTTTACATAACGTGGTGAAAGACGTTTAAACGTAATCAACTGAAAAAAATAAACTTTCTGAAGGTTAGGGATGATGAATCTTATTCTGCCAAACACATTTTCTTCAACGTCTTCCTTCGCGGTTACAGGAATTAGCTGGAGCCGTAGAAAAACAAAATCCTGATGGATAAGACATCCTAATACAGACCCGTCCATCCAACACAGTCTGGGCTAAACTCTCCTGAACTTTGGAGACGCCTCAACTTTCCAAAATAAAGATCAAAATAAATCACAGGTCTGGCAAAGTTAGGGAATGAGTTTCCAGCTTAATGATTTGGTTTCTGATCATTTCATGCGTTTGCTGTTGTATAAATCAAGCCAACAAGAAGCTAATGGTGACCTCATAATAGCCCATGCGGACATGTCTTGTTGTTTAGAAATCTAATTTATCTAATTTTAGGACAATAGATTTAAACAATAATATGTTTATGTGTGTCCTGCTATGCTCATTCCATTTGATCGGTAAAATATGACCCAAAGAGTCCCTCTAAATTGAGTCCACTCATGTCCTTTGCAGCAGCAGACATTCAAAATGGCCCTTCCCAGTCAAACGCCAGCGCATTTCCCTGCAACTCCCAGCAAAATCCCCTCCAACTTCCAGCCAATGGCCTTCTCCTGGTTATGCATGTTTTTTACTCTGACTCCACCCTTTCATTGAACTACAGGGTCTGACCAGGAGATGGCGCTACTCTTTAGATCTTAATGTCCACAAATAATGACAGAAAGAATATTTTAGTTCAAAGATTGATGTTTAAAAAGGAATTGTAGGGGACCAGCCAAGGAAAGTGGGGAATATTGAATGGATACTACTGCAGCTATTTCCATTTATATGGTTTTTATCATTTGGACATAAAAAAGAACGACAGACTGATCATCCTACCTCATCTAGGTCTATGTCCTCAGGGTTTCTCCATTGCTTCAGAGACAGAAGAGTTTCAGGGACTACCACTATGTAGAACCACCTACAAAAGACAAAACCATTCAGAAGCTTTACCTGTGAGTGGCGGGATAGCGGTTAGGGCATAGGGCTTTAAATAAAAGCATAGGGTTAAATTCAAAGGGAGGTGGTTGGAGAATAATTGGACTCATTGTTCATAGAAATTAGCTTTCAGACAGGTTCTCATTTGGACCTGCTGGAAAATAACTTCATGTTAACAGCATAAAATCATAAGATTGTAGAAAATCGAATCTAAACGCTTCAGGATCCTAACCCTGACTTCACACCTCAGTCACTCTTCTGCAGCGGTTCAGTGTGTTTTCACCTTCATTAAAGTGTTTAGTGTTTATTCACCCAGAATAGTGAACAATCACAATGGTCCTTTTTTCACCACTAAACAGGGAAGCTAAGCAGGCATCAATCATACGTTATTCCGGGTTATACATCCCATTATTAACCTGCAGATCTATTAACCTTTGGATCTATTAACTGTTGATCTATTAACCCGTAGATCTATTAACCTTTGAATCTATTAACTGTTGATCTATTAACCCGTAGATCTATTAACCTTTGAATCTATTAACTGTTGATCTATTAACCCGTAGATCTATTAACTGTAGATTTATTAACCTGTAGATCTATTAACCTTTACATCTACTAACCTGTAGATCTATTAACTGTAGATCTGTTAACCCGTAGATCTATTAACCTTTGGATCTATTAACTGTAGATCTATTAACCTTTGGATCTATTAACGTAGATCTATTAACCCGTAGATCTATTAACTGTAGATTTATTAACCTGTAGATCTATTAACTGTAGATCTATTAACCTTTGAATCTATTAACTGTAGATCTATTAACCTTTGGATCTATTAACCTGTAGATCTATTAACCTTTACATCTACTAACCTTTAGATCTATTAACTGTAGATCTATTAACCTGTAGATCTATTAACCTTTAGATCTATTAACTGTAGATCTATTAAGCCGTAGATCTAATAACTGTAGATTTATTAACTTGTAGATCTATTAACTGTAGATCTATTAACCCGTAGATCTATTAACTGTAGATTTATTAACCTGTAGATCTATTAACCTTTACATCTACTAACCTTTAGATCTATTAACTGTAGATCTATTAAGCCATAGATCTATTTACTGTAGATTTATTAACCTGTAGATCTATTAACTGTAGATCTTTTAACCTTTACATCTACTAACCTTTAGATCTATTAACTGTAGATCTATTAAGCCATAGATCTATTTACTGTAGATTTATTAACCCGTAGATCTATTAACTGTAGATCTAATAACCCGTAGATCTATTAACTGTAGATCTATTAACCTGTAGATCTATAAACCTTTATGAATGAAAAAACGTAACAGATGGATTAATAATGAAATAAGTTGCATTATGATGCAACAAATTGAACTTCTTGTCTCATAAATTGTTTATTTTCTATTCAGAAACACAAACATCAATAGATGGAAAACATAATATAAAAAAATGTTGCTGTAATAAAATCCAGCATTAAAACCCAAACAGAGGCGTTCCGCTCTCAGCTGCATTTCCTCTCAGCCTACTTTAACTAATGAGGCAGCTAGTAGAGTTTGGTGAACTATATAGCAACCTGTAGATCTGTTAACCTTTAGATCATCAATATGGTGTGCAGGAGTTGAAACAAACATTCATTATGGTTTCCAAAGCTGTAAACATCTGTATAATAAATCACCTTAAAAGATAAAAGTAAAAATTTCTGTGAATGAAATTGTGCGTCTCGGCCTGCAGCGGGTTTCAGCGCGGCGCCAGGCAGGCAGGCAGGCAGGTAGCTGCTGTAAACAAAGCGGCGGGTGTGTCTCTGGCCATGGAGGCCAAAGGGGAAAAAAGGAAGATAGCTGATGAGAAGAAAGGATTCAAAGAATGGAGGGAATAATTTTCTTTCATTACCAATGAGGAAGGATTGCCTGCATGTTTGCTTTGGAAAGAGAAAATGTCAAATAATGAAGTCATTAGGAAAGGGATTTCCAGGGACGGCTGCTGAATATGCAGCCCACCACCAAGCTGGGAGGGAGAGAAAAAGGGCAGAACTTCTGGAGGAATTAGAGGAGAGCAAGGATAGATCTAAGTAGTGGATTGCATCTCCAAACTCCACTGCTGCTGCTAGTTTGGTTGCAAGCATAGAAAACCATTCATAGATCCAACAGGTAGCGCTCTGATGCAGGGATGAGAACTTTTTTTAATTTTTTCCCCCAAATCCTCAAAACAAAGATAAGACCAAGGAATGTTGGTGATGGAGGATGTGGGATTTCAGGGTTAGAGAGCTCTGCTCTGATGATGTCACTTCCTGCTTGGTTCCTCATGACTCCATCAGCTCCTCCCAACAGAAACACGTCCACCATAGACAGATTCCTTTATCCTGTTTCTATCATTTCATCAATGCAGCAGAATCTAATCCACGCGGTGAAGCGGCGCTTGATGGGAGCGTTCACTGCTCCTCCTTCACCTCCTGCTATTATGGAATTTAAACTTAAAGCACCAAATATGGTTCAGCAGGAGGACCAACTCTGCCATATATAAAAATAAATACAGAAATGAATAAATGCTCAATAAATAGATAAGCATACAATTAATTGCCACCAAAAATACAATAAACAAATAAACGTAAGTAGATATTAAATTATACAGTGAGACATAAATGTATATAACTCTTTTAATTAGCTTCTTTATTTATTTGCCTTTGTAATATTTACCTTATTTATTTTTTTGTCCTTTATGATCTTCAACTTTATTTTTTAATTACTTATATTTTTAAGTATTTATTTATGTGCATGTTATAATATTTTTATTCTTCCTTTGTATTTTTTTACCCAGGTTATTTCTTCACCGCCATTCATTTCTGTCGTTTTTATATTTCTGTCTGCGTTTCTGACTCACTATGCAAATGAGGAGGGGGCGTGTCCTAGAGGGTCAACTTCTGTCCAGTACGGCTCTTTGAGCAGTTTGGGTTGCCGATCCCTGATATATAATGTATACAGACATATGCGGCTTTTTTAAATAGAGAATAAGAGAATAGAAATTAAATTGATTGTTATGGTAACAGCTCTGTTTGATCTAATCGGATCTAATCAGAACTTCATGACTGTTGGCTAAGGGATGGAGCAACAGGATGTTGACTTTACCACCACATACATTTATTCATCTGTAATAAAAAAAAAAAAACAGCTGAAGCAGAGCAGCACGGGCATTTTATTAACTTTATGGGATTTTTTTCAGCAAACGAATAAATCACTTATTTCCTTTCTTCGGTTTTCCTGCAGACAAACAGCACAGACCTTACAATGGCTTCCGTCGGGGCCGCTGGCAGACCCACCGTCACCCTGTCTTCATCCACGTTTGGCTGATATGGAGTTGGTTTCTCTGCCAACATATCTGGGGCAGTTCGGACGGAGAGCCGCTGCTCCGGGCCTCCATCTCCGCTGCCATGGCTCAGCATGAAGGAATATTCTGTATCTGGCTGCAGCTGTGTGATCAGCTTCCTCTTCAGCTCACCCTGGACCTCCACCTCATGATGCCGATACTGAATCTGGAAAGCAGATCATTTCCCACTCAGCAATGTTCAAAACCAAAGGAAAAAGAATACCTTACAGGCTTCTTAACACTATCATCAACTGGTTAATCATATTTTATTTATAAAGCAAACCTGGTTACCAGGATGTTAAGGGGTTAGTCCATGTCTGGGCCAGTCCTGACTAATTAAGTTTTTTCACTTCCTGTTTTATTTTGTATTCATTTCCTGTCTCATTTTAGGCCACTTGCCTTCCTGAATTCCTCCCTGCAATCAGGACCTGCCACACCTTAATGTGATTCACCTGGAGTTTGTGACCCTCCTGTGATTGTTGGCCTTTTTGTTTCTCAGTCATGCTGCTTCCCTTTGCCAGTTCGTCTTTGTCCTTTGAGTCGAGCGTTCCAGCCCTTTTGGATTTGAAATTAGCTTTTTAGCAATTTTTATGAATTTGTTTGTTTGTGGACCTTTTACTACATCTGTCTTTGGTACTTCTGCTTACTTTGGATTTTTGGTGTTTGACCCCAGTATATAAAAAGAATCTTGAACTTTACTGCACTGTGTCGTGTCTTGCATTTGAGTCTCTATTCCTGAGCCATATGGCAGACTATGCTTGTCCAGTATGCACCAGAAAGAAACATGGACACCAGCCTCCTGCCAGACTCCTTCAGCTCGTACCCGTTCCCAACAAGCCCTGCTCCCTTATCTCTCCAGAGCACCACCTTCCTGAGATATGAGCACCATTCTCACCATTATTAATTGTGTTCTTAAATATAATGCAATGTAAATGTAACCATCTTGGTTCTGTTGTTTTTCTTTAAGTTTTCAGTTTCAAGTTCAGCCAGGTTTTTCTTTTTTTTTTTAGTTTTATTGGTGTGTCTGGAGTCATTTAAGTTGCTTAGGTTTTTCTGTCTGCTCTCTGCTGCCCCCTTGTGTTCTTTTCCCTTGGCTTCCTCGTCAGCTCTAATCACACCTGCTCCCTATCAGCTCTACCTTTGTTCAGTCAGCCATAAATACACTCCCTCTGCAGTCCCTCTTTGCTGGTTCCTGGTCTTACCTTTTCTCACCCTGGCTCCTTGATGGTTTTCCCCTGATGTCATGGTTCTGGTTTGTGTTTGATTTTTAAGTTGGATTTTTGGATACCTGTTTTTGTTGCCTGATCTCTCATTAAACCCTCCAAGAACTCACCTCTGCCTCTCAGCTTCTGCTTTTAGGTCCAAACAAAAACCTTAAAACCAAATCTTGACAGTAAATCCCTCTATTACTCCAGATTGGGGAAATTCACCCTCTGTATTTTAACCCATCCTCTTGTGGAGCAGTGGGCTGCTATTGTGTGGCACCCAGGGGCAGTGTGGGGTTAAGGGTCTTGCACAGGGACCCAGAGTGGCAGTCTGTGGGGATCGAACCGGGTACTTGCAACCTTCTCAGAGCACAGAGCACTGCTCTAACCACTATTCCATCCCTTTGAAGAAGCTCCATCCACCTCCAGTCTTCATGGCATTTCTCAGGACATCCTTTCAGACAGAGGACCATTATTCATCTCGCTGCTATGAAGACCGCTCTTTAATGCTCTTTCATTGCAAAAGTCTCTTTAACATCCAGTTAACCCCTCAATCCAGCAACCGAATGGCCAAACTGAAAGGATCAATCAGGAACTAAAATCAGCCCTCTGTTGTCTCACATCCAACTGATTGGAGAAAGTTTCTACCCTTCTTTGAATACAGATGTAACGCTCACATCTCTGATGCCACAGCTTTGTCTCCCTTTAAAGAGACGACTGTTTGATTGCAAACAGTCTGCAAGGATTGTGATGTCATCGGCCGTAATTAAAAATAATTCCATCTTAAAACGATAGTTTAACTTTTCTGAAAAATGGTGAAATATATTTATTTTTATGGAGACTGCCATTCATTAAGCCCCTTGGGGGGTTTTCGGCAGTTGTCCATCACATTTTCTTTTTTTAGTAAAACATTCTGCTTTTGTTATGAAAAAAAAAGTAGGTTAGATCATTTGGATTCAAGTCGGAGCTTAATGGTGGGATAGTTGACCTCTGGGTGACCTACAAAATTATCTTTAATATCTCTGAAACAACAGCAGCACATGTGATCTTTATTGTTTTATTCATTTTTATAAATGACCATTTTAAATGAACAAACCTGCACTAATGAGGCAATAACCCTTCAGTCAGTTTTTTCACGTCGGTGAGGTGTCAGATTCACGCAGCTGAAGCTCCGCCTATCTGATGATGCGGTCCAGGGAGTAAACCCTGTGCATCTGAAATGCAGAGTGATGAAGTACCTGCTGGAAAAATCCCAGCACTCATGGCGTCCTTTATGAATGCACCATAAAGCAGCCAGTGAATTAGGCAAGGTGGAGTGTTGCTACACCAGTATTCATACCGGTACCTCATGGTCAGAGATATTCAATCCAATATTATAAGACATGTAGCTGCTCAATAGTGTTGGGTTCAAATGTCGATGATGCAATCAGAAGTACTCCTCTGAAGACACACCCCTCTGGCGGAGTTTAGAAAGCAAGTACTTCCTGTTTGACTTCCTGTTGCTGGCAGTTCGCAGTTGCTAACGGCTAGACTCTAAACGGTTCCCAGCTAAAGGCTATGCTAAGGTAGCAACCAAATCCCTCTGGAGAGGTCTGTGCTCTCTGGACCGAGTCAGACTACCATTCCTGCGATTCAGAAGGAGTTGATCAATAGGTTTTTCTTTTTTTTTTTCATGTAATTTCCTGTCAAGGTCTCGCTATCTGTTGGCGTTTCACAATAAAAGCACAGGTGAACCTTAACATCACGGACTGCTGCTAAATTGTTCTCTATGACTTTAGAATCTCCTTGGGGAGACCATCAGTTTCTGGAAAAAAAGATCCACTTTGGTTCATCCAGATGCAGCTCTGATTCAGCAGAACTTCCTTGTAAAAAAAGGTTTTAGTCTAATTAGGCCCGAGCAGCAAAGCGCTGCGAAGGCCTATTGTATTTCGAAAGTTTCTTATTATTATTATTATTATTATTATTATTATTATTATTATTATTTTTCTTTTCTCACTTCAAACGCATTTTACGGGGACTTCGCATATTCAAAAACTCAGGAAAACGTGGCAGTAAATTCTCCCCCGAGTGAAATAGCCGGTCTGTAATGGAATCCAAAATGGCCGCTCCCAAATTACGGCACAGCGCCCTCTAACGTGAA